AATTGATCTTAAGAACCTTTCGTACCTATGTGCCACACAGCTGACCCGATCGTTAGCGATCGATCGTCAGCTGTATCTACATAGGGATCAAGAGCGGACCGGCGGAAGAAATTCGCTCTCATACTTAGTTTTCTAGGGATGCACATGTGAAACTGTGTCATCGATACTTTTAACTTCTCGATCTAACAATCTCAATAGTTGATTTTAATACATGTTCCGATGATGCTAGAAATCGGAATCAGCGCAATATTATGAAATTTGATTATGGTTATAAGCCTTCTTCCCATGTACAATTAATCTCACAATGACAAGAAAGCTCAAATCTGTTGTTGTGTAATTTCATCAATATTAATTGATGCATTCTAAAAGTTCCTTCTGTGAATGTGGTTTTCTTAAAAGATGATGTGGTGCTGGGAGTTCAATTAACGAATCAAACCTTGCAACATAGTGAAGCCGCGCAACAAACCGAGCTTCAACAAAGCTTCCAATCGAAAGCTAACAAAGAGATGGATAAAGGACTTCATTATGAATTTAAATCCAAGGTTGCAGAACATATCGTTAAAAAGGGGCACAATTTGACTAAGGAAAACATTAATATCCTGCTACCTGCTACCTAAAACAACACATCGTAGCATGTCTCTACCTGTTGGAGACTGAATTTAGGTACCTTTTTAGGTAAATTTTGACATGGCAGTGGGTACCTGCTGATTTTTAGTACCTATTGATTAGTATATTATATAGCTCGTAGATAAAAGATGGATTCTTCAGTGGTGTTGAGTACTTGGCACTGATGAAGTCTGCAAGTAGTAGACGAAATACGCGTATCTGTCAAAAGATAAGCAATTATAACGGAATTTAAAGGAAATAAGCCAACAAACTCAAAGCTCTTCATAATCGAAAACTTTTAGTTTACTATTGGGCGCAAGCGCAACTGTTTCCCTAAATATTTTCCACTGAAGTCGACTGGGCTGCGCTTGAAATGTGGGAAGTTATTTTTTCTTATATCCGAAAAGTCCTTTAAATTGCATGTTGTCACGGCGTCTAAAATTCAGATTCAAGGAAATTTAAACAGAATCAGTAATAATGTTGAGATGTCCGGCAAAATCAAGAAATCTCAGATAAGGTTCAGTGGAAATCCTAGCCAAGTTACTAGGGTAGAGAACTACTCCGGCATAAGCAATCTTTAATCTGTAAATCTATATCAAATCTAACGGTATGTGGAATGAAAACGTTCAATTTTCTATTAAAACCCTTTAGACAAAGAGAGGTATAAGTGAGTGTTGCTAAATATGAAATTTGATCATAATGGTCATATGGTCGCACGTGTATTTCCTACAAAGTCATGACATTGGGTTTCCTATGGTATATTAACACTCTGTGACACCACAAGCACAAGAGAGATTCTTCGGAATTCTCGTCTGCATGTCCAACCTGTTCATTTTTTTTTTTTAAATGCGTTTATTTTTCCAGGCTCATTTGCCGTAGCTTTGCGGAGCCGATATTCATCGTTTGGGTACAAAATTACTTAAAACTAACGTTAGTAAAGCGGGGGCCGATTACTCGCGGCTTTCTCGAGGTTAGGGGTAACAAATTGTAACAAACCGGTGGCAGGGTAGGGATTGAGAACACAAGGTTTTTTAGAGCAATGTGCTCTTGATCTAGAACTAAGCGACATACTGGAGAAAAAGACAAACATGGGGGTACACCGATGGAGACCTAGCAACTTGAGAGAACACAAGATGACACTAACTACTAAATCCTCAGATCGATCCGTTTTAAAAACACATAAATTAAATTAAAATATTCGAGATCTCGGCTCGCCAAGATGTCTCTAACGGGCCGCATAGGTTGTTTTCCTCGGGCCCTGAGGGATGCGGATAACTTGGATCTAGCAACACAATGTAGGGTGCATGACCAAAGCACGTCGATAGCGTGATAGCCACTACCACAAGCGCACAAGTTTTCTCCGGAGAGAATTTGATACCCAGCTTACCCAAGTAGACAAATTGTCTAAGGTATCTTGCAATGGTCCTTGCAGGTCCGGTGCACTTGGCCCTATAACGGACACAACCCCGTCATCTGCAAGCTGCCTTAGCGAGCAACTTTCATCAAGACAACCATCAATGTCTTTTACATAAAAATTATAAAGCAGGGGGCTTAAACATGAACCCTGGGGGAGACCCATGTAACTAATTCGTGAAATTGTCGAGTTTCCATGAGAGAAGCTCATATATTTCTCAGACAACAAGTTGCTCAAATAGTTGTTCATAATTGGTGAAAGCCCACTATCGTGGAGTTTATCCGAAAGGATATCGATACAAACAGAATCAAAAGCCCCCTTAATGTCCAAGAAAACTGAACCCATTTGCTGTTTTTGCGCATAGGCCAGTTGAATTTCAGTTGAAAGCAACGCAAGACAGTCGCTCGTTCCCTTGCCTCTCCGAAATCCAAATTGCGTATCTGAAAGTAAACCATTCGACTCGACCCATTTGTCTAGACGAAAAAGAATCATTTTCTCCAACAATTTCCGTATACAGGACAGCATCGCGATGGGACGGTACGAGAGCAAGTGAGAATTCCACCATCGAAAACGGGGAATCTATTTCGTTATTACCCGACGGACGATCACGAACGTTGGTTTGGACCGGTACCGAATCCGGGCAAACTTTCCGCGCGAAGCTGAAAATCCATCTGTCCGAGTACTCCTTGTCTTCATTAATCGGTGATGAAGCGTTTCGCATTCTCCTGCCGACATTCCAGAGTGTTCTCATGGAAGTCTCTCGCGACAAACCATCGACGAACCGACGCCAGTAACCGCGTTTTTTTTGCTTTAATTAAGTCCTTAAAGGTTTTCTCGAGGTCGGTGTACCGTTCGAAATTACCGTGTTTGCGGAAGCGTTTAAACGTGGCGGACTTCTCGCTGTTCGCGTCGGTGCAATGCTTATCCCACCACGGGGTGGGAGGTCGCTTGCGAAAGGAAACACCCGGAATACGTTTCGTCTGTGCTCGCAGCGCACAATCGATGATGACACGCGCGAGAAAGGAGTACTCGTCCAGCGGAGGAAGGACGTCAACCGATTGACTGGCATCAAGAACCGCGGTCGCGAATTTTCGCCAGTCAATGTTTTTCGTAAGATCGTACGCGATGTCGACCGAGCGAGTAGAAGATGAACCATTGGTAATAGAAATTTTGATTGGCAAATGGTCACTACCGTAGGGATCTTGAATTACTTTCCACGAGCAATCCAACGATAGTGAACTCGAACAAAGTGAGAGGTCTAATCTGCTTATTTTTGCTGGAGGTTTGGCTACTCGTGTTGCTTCCCCGGTGTGCAGAATTGTCATTTTGAAGAAGTCGCACATGTCGTATATCAAGGTTGAGCGGTTGTCGTCGTACAGTTCCCCCCAGCCTGTACCGTGAGAGTTAAAATCTCCCAAGATCAACCGTGGCTCCGGCATAGCCGTGCAGATATCCGAGAAACTTTGACGAGAAATCGCGGTTTTCGGTGGAAGATATACTGAGGCAATACTGAGGCATTTACCTCGAATATTAACCTGACATGCAACTACTTCAATGCCTGTCACCGAAGGGAGATCGATTCTATAGAAGGAATGAAGCTTGTTGATCCCCAGAAGCACCCCTCCATACGAATCTGCGCGGTCAAGGCGTATAATGTTGAAATCGTGGAAAGCAAGATCGTTGTCTGAAGAGAGCCATGTTTCACAAAGGGCAAATGCATCAGAAAGTGAGTTGTTAACTAAAAATTTAAATGTGTCAAGTTTTGGCATAAGACTTCTACAGTTCCATTGAAGAACAGAGATCATATCCCCGACCTCATTCGGAGAGTTATCCATCAAAGGATATGATCGATGCAAGGAAGGACCACCTAGAAACTAGTTGCTTCAAAAGAGTTTTCACCATTGGCAGCACTAAATTAATAATGCTCCTCGTTGAGTCAGAGATATTGAATATACTGAAGAAGCTATCCACAATACCGGAAAACGTGAACATGGGAGCATGTTCTTGCTGATTATTCAGCTGATTTTCTGGCCGAAAAACTGGAACATCTGGGGTTTTAGATGATCCTGGAAGTGACGGAAAGTTCTTGTCATAATTACAAGGTTTAAAACCCGGTGGAATGGGTTTCGGTGCATTTCCGTCACCTCTTGATTTTTCCAAGGTGGAAGGGTGGTCCGTACAAGTGGCCTTACGAGGATTTTCGGTGGTGTATTTTTTTGCTCGTTTTCTCGTATTGCCTTTAAAGACAAACGGACTACCCTCACCGCCCTCTGAGTCAGAGTCTAGATCATCAACTGGCAAAATGGAGAACGTGTTACTGTTTTTTGGTGTGGTCTGAGAAGATGAAGCGGTATTCTTCAAGAGTTCTGCTATTGTTCTCTTGGAGCGAGCTTGCAGAGACCGCTTAATTTTTTCTCCCTGCTGTTTAACCTGTTCATGGAACAGGTAATTAATTTTATTAAATCGTATGTATGTACATGTTTGTGTTATCAGGGGTGTGGCATTTCTCAGCAAAAAAGGTGTACTGCGTCTCTTTCTGGATTATCACGCTCCTACTGGAAGTATCCTGGGGCATCCCATTTACATAGTCAGTAACAAGCGGTTATAAAGCATGCCATGCTTTGGACAAGGTAGTAGACATCCTAAAATATAGAAACATATGGAGCTTATTTTGATCCATTCGATTGACCTTACCTGAGCACAATTTTTTGAAAGCAATTTTTCGTCCTTTAACTAATCGTGGTTTTATTACGTCATACATGAAGGTAACGATGTACATAGTTGGAGATGACTTAAAGTGAACATTTTTATACCATAGATGAGGAGATGAAAGTATGGAATTGATAGTTTCGTTATAGTATGGTAGTGTGACACTGGCAAAAGGAATGATTGCCGTGATGATTTGCCATTTCATGATTCAATAATACTGCATCGTTTCCATCAGAAAAAAAACCAGCCCAAGCGTTCTGAACTCAAATTCATGTTTATACCAATTGTGATACTTGAATAAAGAAAACGCAAGATATTTACATTTTAATTTTTCATTTATTTTCTTAATTTCCAAATGGTTTGATATAGAAAAACCGAAAATCGAATGTTTAAGGAATTGTTGTTGATTATCTTCGGTCTTTTTTAGTTGGCAATGATTTTTTTTTAATACCCGGAGAATGTTGTCGAGGAACGTTAGATCAAATTCCAGTTATTTCGTTAATCCAATCACGAAAAGCCGAGACACGGACGTAGACTCCAGGGGAATTGGGCATGCCACATCCTCTGCCCCAAGAAACTATCCCGACGAGTGTATCACCGTCGATGAGGGGGCCACCGGAATCGCCTTGGCAACTATCCTTACCACCGTCAGGATATCCAGCACACATCATTCGGTCTGTTACACGGCCGGGGTAGGCTAGCTGGCTGTCGTGTTGACTCACAATCGGTACGTTTACAGAGCGCAGCTTTTGCTGATTTAGCACATCTTCATAAGTTTTAGTTTTGCCAAACCCTGACACAATGAGCATCTTTCCGACCGGTAGGGGGGGTTCGTTCATGGCCGGCAACATTACCGGTTTCACCGTGCTACTGAACGGAACATCGTTGGTCAACTTGATCAATGCCAAATCATAGTCGTATCCACTAGGATGGTAATTCGGGTGTTTCACTATTTTTTCCACTCCGTACAGCTTACCACTTTTATTTCCAAAGTTAGATCCGACTCGGATAAAAGCCGGAGTATCTCGATTCGTCACACAATGGGCAGCCGTAGCTATCCAGGAAGAACTTATCAAAGCACCAGTGCAGTATGATTGTTTAAGGTTATCTACCAGAGCCACCGCGGAGGGAACCAAGGCGATCGAGATCGTTTGCCCACCAACTATGCGTGTTGTTATCGCAAAATCGGTGTCTAGATTTTTATTCACAATTAGATTTTTCAGTTGTTTTTGCACATAAGAAGCTAAACGCAACATTTTTGTATTTCTGGAACTAGTATTGCCACACTGCTCGTGAAAAACTGGACTGTCACCTCAATTGGAAAAATTATAGCACGTCAATCTATGTACACGCCTGTCTTTTGATGTTTTATCGTACACCGGAGAATATGGCTTAATCTTGTTTTCGTCACAACACAGTGTTGGTAGTTTTTACTAGTTTCGGCATGTTTCACACGGTTTTTGTGCACTCAGTAGGGGTGAAAATCACGGAGGAAAATGGGAAAATTATACAAAATAATAATTCAGTGCCAACATTTCAAAGGGGTGTAATTGCTTTTGTAAACAATGGCTTTAGCCGTCGATTTCTCGCAAATAAAAGCTCACTTCTCCAAATTAACAAGGGTAGAGGAAACATTCATCTACCTGTTGGTTTCATGTTTGAGTTTACAAATGCAGTTACGCCCCTTTGAAATGCTGGTACTGAATTCATAGATCAACTGGTTGCCCCGAAAGTTTGGGCGAAAGTTTGGTAGTATTAGACAGCGACATATGTCTTCCAGCTCGAGCTGAAAGATTCCCCATCACCAATACTACCAGCTTTGGGGGAAATTGAATGAATTAATATTCATTCGATTTTCAATTCCATTAGAAGGAGAAGCACACCCGAAGCACGCGACGACCCGAAGTAGTCGGTCATTCATTGTTTTCATTCCATCCCTGGTTCGGGTGGTGTGAGTAGGAGAAGTTTTTTGCGATGAAGATCTGCGGAAAATTTAATATTTACTTCTTGGTTTCATCTGCTATTTTTAGAATTGGACCGATGTGATCCTCAGAGAAGCCTTGAAAAGTCGGCTATTTCAAAAGATAGGATCATCCTGGTTAGTTGAGGGCTTTCCAAGCCTAACTTTGTTGCATGAGTGGAATGGATATTTATTCTCAATAAATGAAACTGGTTAATGAAACTTTCAAATTATACAACTATGCTCATAACTTAAAAAAAAAGCTTGTTGAATGTCGAGATTAACTGATCTAAGCAGAAAACACACACAGCTTAGCTTTCCACAAACCTGCACGGGCTCGAAGCACCACCAGGAGCCCAGTGATAAACAGGAACAGTTGCAGCACGGTAGTTTTACTTTTTCAATGCACCTTAGCAGGAGAGTGAGAAAACTGTTCTTCACGTTCAGAAAGCTGTTTAGGCACACTGAATGGAATGTGTAAGCGCAGACATTTCATAGGATACGAATGTTGGTGTTGTAATTCGCATGCGCATTTTTGCTAGATAATTACCAAGGAAAGATGAATGCCCAGAGTACCAAATTGAATCAATGCTCTCCACTGCCCCTTCTTTTGAAAAATGCCTCTGTACAATTTGTAAATCTTCGAAGCCTACCACTAAAATTGCACAAGTACACTGAAGTTTTTTTTTACACGGTTTTTCCCGAATTACACGGTACGTTTTTAACGATTTCTCGACAACGATACAACCTATCGACTTGATTTCAATCGCATTATCCGTTTCAAGCAATAGGTAATCGAATGGCATATTTTGAAAAAATCACAATTTTTGGTGTAAATACAGAAATCTTTAAAATATGTCTATATGGACCATAGCATGCTATAATTACAAATGACATCAAAATCCGATTTTTTAAAAACATTTAAGCATGTGAAAAATCAAAATCTCGTAGGTTTTTTTACACGGTACATATCCCCCGTGTAAAAAAAGACCTGAGTGTATACTCTATGCTCAGGTAAGCTGAGAGCTAAGACCATTTACAACCCAACAAGATCCTCGATCGAGCCCGTTGAAGCTTGCTTCTTTTCTTTTCCTTGATTTGATTTCCGTCGACGTTTTCCGTACTGAGTACCAATGCTACCGATGCTAGAGAAGCCATCCGACCATTCAAATCCATTTTTTTTAAATAAAAAAAAATAACCCTTGAGAGATAATGATAAAATTTTGTCAGCAATTTGGATAATCAATAGGTTAATTTCTAACATCCACTTCCTCACACAGTACTCATTTTTCTGCCACGATTTTTTTGGAAACCCACCGTGGAATAAGTTAAATTTCGGGATGTGAAAGATTGAACATAGAAATTTTTTAGGAAATCTTGAAATTGAAAAAAAAAAATGAGACACAGGGAAAAATGTTCCAAGTCTTGGACAAATTTGTCAATTTTAAGACAAGCAATTTTAAAAGTTATATATTCGAGAACTTCTGAAAAACTTCAAACATAGACAAATATTCACATATCTAGAACCTAGACAACTGTTCTGGATCGTAGTCTAAGAAAAGTTATCATTAGGTATTCTGGAACGAGGAAAATTTTCCCGAAAAATATCGATCTCCAAAAAAGTTGTAAGATTCTGGTATACATTTTAGAGATATTGGACATTTTTTGTGTAATGCTGGCACTTAGTAATTCGCGATCTTTAATTCAAACAAGTTAAGGGGAGGTTCATTTGGATTCGACCGAAAATCGTGCTAACATTGCGAATTTTTTGTCGGAAAACGAAAAGACATACAAAGTTGTGCTATTGAGTTTTTTTGCGTTATACATGATGACTACAAAATGTTTTTTTTTTTATTTTTGAAAAATTCAAAATGGCGGATTCGTTGGCCTCTGCGCACGAAACAATGTCCCCTGCTGTCAATTGTAGGGCCTTCCGTGGTAAACTGAAATAAGAAACTGTCATATATTATGCAAATACATAAAATTTCCTACGGCATATACCTAACCTAAACAAATTTTTAACGAAAAAAAACAAACTTTTTGGACATAAAAAAAATATTTTTTCTCTTTTTTTTACTTTGATCTCGTTTAAAAATTATAAAAAAAAACATTTTTCATGCCAATAATAGGTATAAGCCGTAAAGAAAAGTATTCACTTTAAAACTATGTTTGAATGAGTTAGTTTTCATTTTATGTAAAAAAAATAGATTTTTTCGACAAAATCTAAATGAACCTCCCCTTAAGAAAGTGTTGAATAATTTACGATATGTAAGAATGTAAGTTCACAGTCCGAGAAAAATTTAATGTTTCTAAAATACAGAAAAGATTTCATGATTTTAGACATAGAATTTGAAGATAGACATAGAAGATTTATCGAAATTCAGGTCTTTGAAAAAAATTCTAGCGCTTGTAAACTTTCCTAGACCATTTTTCAACATGTTGGCTTGGAAAACTTTCAAGATGACAAAGAGATATCGGAACCAGAGTTTATATTTTTGTTTTTCGAAACCTCAGAAAATTTGTGATGAAGATCATAGACAATGGAAAAATGGTATAATCTATTTTTTATTGAAGATAACGGATTTGAAACAAATGCACTCTGGCCATTCTATTGAAGAATTTAAAAACATGTTCTTTTTTTCGTTTTCTTTCAGTTGTCTAGTCTAGTTTTCCCAGGTTAATTGAAACAGTTAAATATGGTAAAACACCCCAAGTACCATCACAAGTTTTATCGCATGATAAAACCCAAATCCTTACTTGAAGCATAGATTATTATTTTGCTTAATTGTTGACCCTAAAGAAAACAGTACACAGCAAAAAAATAATTTTGATATCACGTCAAAGTGGATGCACTACAATCATGTCGAAAATATGGTGTAATATTACTTGCTAAAAAGGACAAAATTATCATTAATACAATGCATGAACTGACATTACGCTGCTTTTACTGCATTTGTTTATTTATGTGGTCATAAAAATTACATGAAATTTTCGACATGATTGTAGTGCATCCACTTTGATGTGATATCAAAATTATTTTTTTGCTGTGTATGTAATTTGTAGTAAGGTCAAAATATGTTATTCTCAATTGGGTATTGAAATTGAGAAGAGAAATGCAAGGAAATTCCAATGATGGTTTTTGAAATAATCTTAAAAGAATCTTTTCAGGATTCCAAAAGGATGATATCTCTACATTAATCATCTCATGACTTTTTTTTTTTGTAGATTTTTTTTGATGTCAAACACTTGCATAACAAGCATGATCGGAGTTGGCAAGGAGTTTGAGATGGCATGAATCTGCTCCTCTATCTTGAAGTAGCTTCGTAACAGGATATGTCTCGCTCAGCTTTTATACTAGAACTACTTCACTCGGAAAACTGTAGCAAGACTACTATAAAATCAAAGTTGTTACTTGGGATAAGTATATATGATCTTTCCCGGTGCAATTTGGGTTTGCTGCATTTTTCCGGTAAATCCGAATTCCCGGTTTTCCTGGTTAGATGGACACCCTGATCGACCCATCAATTCATGGACCGGAGACCAACGGCTTTACTTCCCTTCCGAATTGATTGAACCCAGGCCCTTTGGAGTGAGAGGCAGTCACGTTTACCACTACAGCATCTAATCTTTCTTTCTAAAAATAAAACGATATTACGAACAACAAGCTTCGTCTTACTTTTACAATTAATTCTCAGTTCGATAGAATTTTCATTTTTTGCATGAATAAAGAAAGCGTAAGAGCTAAATTGTAGATGTTAGTGTGAGAGCATTGGATGCTATTTTTAAAAAAAGTCTCAAGATTTTTTTTTTTTCACGGAAGGGGGAAAGCAGGGTTAATGGCACAAGAACTCGCTCAAACAGTAGAAGCGGATTGATCCAACACAAAGCTCACCCCACTCTCCCATGCGAATAAAATGAAAACTAGATCCAAACACAATCCGTTGAAGTGTGACCGCAGTAGCCATCGTTCATTCCATATTGCATGGGTGTGGGTCGAGATTTTACGGACTCGATTGAGGCACATTTTGCTCTGTTCACAACAAGAAAAATTGCAAGGAGCATAGCGACGGAAAGTTGATAGTTCAAGTATCGTTTCATAAGTGAACCTAACAGGATGAACCTACTGAATTATTATTTTTTACTTTTAGGCATTGACACGATGTTGGATTGACATTCTGACACTGGAAAGTGGACACATTAAATCGCTCGGGACCCGCCCTCGAAACACAAAAAAGTTTTTTTTTAGGCTAAGTTTGCAAAAAGTTTCGTGGAAGGTAATGTCATGGTAACATTTGC